AAGGCCAGAAGGAAACAGAGGGGGTTTGATCCCTCTGTTTCCTTCTGCTTCTACATGACATTCTGCCTCTAAATTAAATAAATAAATGGGCTCTTTTTGTAGCAGGTACTCATTTGCGTATTAGGAGACACCCCCCCTAATGTAGCCAATCCTCCAAGAGCTTACAGTAGCCCCTGTAAGAAGAGCTCTGTAAGCTCTTGGAGGATTGGCTACATTAGGGGTGTGTGGCCTAATATGCAAAGGAGTTCCTGCTACAAAAAGTGCCCTGAAACAACCCCGAACTTGTTTGGTGGTCTCCCATCCAAGTACTAACCGGGGCCAACCCTGCTTCGCTTCCTAGTTTGGGAGGGCCTGGCTTATTCCGGCTGCCTTATGCGGCCTGGGACCCGCATACCTTTGGGACTGTCTCTCCCCGTATGTGCCCCGGAGAGCCTTGTGCTCGACAGATCCAACATCTACTGGTAGTCCCTGGCCCGAAAGACGTCCACTTCGCCTCAACCGGGGCTTTCTCCGCCCTGGCCCCGACCTGGTGGAACACGTTTCCCTGTGAGATCAGGGCCCTGCAGGCAATGTTCCCTCTAAGCTGTGGAGTCTTGTGAGCAAAAATTCTCCTTTGTGAGCTACTGGCATTAAAGCTGTGAGCGAGCGATTTGGCTGCTGCATAAATTAGTTTGCTCCGGAGCCCTCCTTCCTGAGCCAGGACAAAAATGTGTGAGCCGGAGGCTAAAAAACTCTGCGCTAGCTCACACTAACTCAGCATAGAGGGAACATTGCCTGCAGGACTTGTTACAATTCTGCAGGACCTGTAAAACGGGAGCTGTTCTGCCAGGTGTCTGGTTGAGGTGGTGGGCGTTCAGTCCCTCTTGGCCTCCCCCAACACAGAAACATCATTGGAGTAATCCCGCAGGAGATATTTAGAACTGCCCTGGAGTCTCATTCGGTTTATTGCCCTCTTGTTCTGTTGCCTGCTTGTTTATTGATTGATGCTGTAACCAAATATGTTAAACTCCGAAAATGGGCTTTATGCAGAAGAGACTCCCGAATCATATAAAAGTTGCACCGGTAAGAGTTCGCAAATAGTACTCTACTGGAAACAATACAACACGGTAGTCAAATACAACGTCAGTAATAATGAACTCACAAAAATTACAAGAGTCCAGTTGCCAGCTGACCAAATAGGATGTAGTTAAGCAATCAAACTACATCCTATTTGGTCGGTTGGCAACTGGACTCTTGTAATTTTTGTGAGTTCATTATTACTGACGTTGTATTTGACTACCGTGTTGTATTGTTTTCAATAGAGTAATATTTGTGACTTCTTACTGGTGGAACTTCTATATGATTTGGGAGTCTCTTAGATGCAGCCCGTTTTCGGAGTTTAATATATTTGGTTACAGCAGCTCTCTTACTCTGTCGTCCTTTATTTTTATTGACTGATGGCTGATTGTTTTAACTTGATTTTTAACCATATGCTATTGTTGCTCGTTTATATCCAATTGTTGCGAGCCGCCCCGAGACCGTCTCGGGATAGGGTGGGAGATAAACCCAGTGTGATAAATAAATAATTGGGGTATCCATACCCTGATTCAAATATTGCAGAGCCAAGTTGCAAACACAGATACAAAAGTGCAGGGCCAGGCGGCACCTCGAATGAGTTTCTGTCATATCGGCCTGTCCCTCTCCCCGACCCTCAGGCCTGCTGCGATTGGAGGAGCTGGTGCGTCAGTTTCTCATCTCCAAGGAGACGCTCTCGATCCGGATGCTGGACGACACCAACGACCCGACGCCGCTGCTCAAGGAGATCCGAGACGACAAGATCTCCACCATCATCATCGACGCCAACGCTTCCATCTCCTATCTCATCCTCAAGAAGGTGAGGGACGGGCGGCGCCCTGCGCCGAGGCAGCTCACGGTGTTTTTCTGCCTTAGCTTGGGTGCCGTGAGCTGCGGGGTCCAGTAACTACTCTGAACAGCTTTGGACCAGTGCTCCCTCTAAGCTGCGGAGTCCTGTGAGCAAAAATTCTACTTTGTGAGCTACTTGGCATTAAAGTTGTGAGCGAGCGATTTGGCTGCTGCACAAATTAGTTTGCTCTGGAGCCATGCTTCCTGAGCTAAGACAAAAATGTGTGAGCCGGAGGCTAAAAAAACTATGAGTTGGCTCGCACTCACTCAGCTTAGAGGGAACACTGCTTTGGATAAATGTGGAATACCTATGACTGGAAAATAATAAAACTTTGTTTACCAAAAAAAAAAAAAAAAAGTGGGGGGCGAGGGATTGGCCCCCTGCG